TTATAATATTGGCTAAGAATAATGAAAACTCAAAATTGTTTTTGAGACAGGATCTCACTATGTATTTCAGGCTGGCCTTGAACACATTATGTAGCCTTGGCTGGACTCAAACTAAAGCAATCCTTCTGCCTCAGCCCCACAAGTGCTGGGATTACAAGCATGAGGCACCATGCCCATTTGAAAAATCATTTTTATTTGGTTTTAAGATGCTTCCATTTTAAAACTTCCCTAGAACACATAATACACCAAACTATAATGAAGACACAAGGAAATCACTTCCAGGCAATGTCCATGTAATATGAAACAGGTATACCTCTAAATATAGTACTTTTAAAAATTACAGGAAATATGTGTATCTGACTATGATTATTTTAAATCCAATATGCTCTCTTTCTAAGAACTTAAAGCTCTCTTTTATATATTATTTAAAATATCACTTTGAGCTTATAGGCATGAAAAATGTAATTTCTTTCCCATTTCACAGTTGGAAAAACTGAATTACAGAGAACAATGCTAGTAATTATCTATGATTAATAGTGGTGTGTATGTAAATCAGTTTGAATAAGTGTGTGAAATTAGATGTGCCAATGCCAGATAGCTCTGCTCATGTTTTTAAAAAGATGAATACTTTCCTTTAAATCTCTATGTGAGGGCATACATCTCTCTGTGTTTCAGCATCTCTGAAAATGAATTCTGTAAAATTGTATAGATATTAAGGTAACTGTTATGCACTACAAGTATCATAAAATGTAAAATAAATTTTGCTGACTTTAACATTCAGTAGACAAATGCATATTTCTTGGATATTATGAATGCATACATAGTAGTTATTTATAAGGTACTATATAGATTTATATATGTGCCTGGATGTATGTAGCAGGTGGGGGACTAAAATTTGGGTATACTTTTCTCGTTAAAAATTATGGGGGAAAAGTGTATGTTATTTTCTTAGGTTTATAGTGATTTACTGAATTAATATGTGTAAAAGAGTTTAGGGCTTTATTGGTATATGAGAAGGCCCCTGTCTATCATTATTATACTAGTTATCAAAGTTAGCATTGTTGGACAAGTTGACACTACTGTTATGTTAAGGAGCTGAGAAGAGATTTTCTCATTGATTCCCAGGACAGTATCCCATAAAAAATAAGTAAAGCTGTGGGGACTGTCCAGTGATTGTTCAATTATGGGTTATGTCTAGGGATTTCTCCTCATTCTTCCGTCCATCACTTTGGAGTTTGACTTCAAAGCCCACTCTTGGGTAGGGCCCTTTCTTTCTCTGATTGTTTTAATGCCAACTCTGGCCACAAAGACACTGGTCTTCCTTTGGGAGGAAACAGACTGACTTCAGATTTATAAAAGCCCAGCTTGTTTGTGACTTAGACTTTTAAAAAAATAACTTTAATTTTGGGAGGTTTTGTTTCTAGAGAGAGCGAGCTTTAGACAGCTGTATTAATCATGCAAACCCAGCCATGTGCAATGTGTTTTATCAGTGGAAAAACAGGGGCTGAATGGCAAGCAGCTGTGAACAGACCCAGTGCATGCCTGAACCTGGAAGATAATCTCCACATTCCCCAGACCCACTCGCCACACAGGGTTAGTGATTGGAAAGGCTGTTCACTTGGGAGAAATAATCAGATGGGAGGCACACAAGTGAGATACTTTCTACAAATTTTTTCTTTTCTTTTTTCTTCCTTTTCTTTCTTTTTTTTTTTTTTCAGAGTCAGTGATCAGAGAAAGATGGGTTTATGGAGCCCAGAGAGATACAAGCTCATGGGGATTTTTTGCCTGAGAGCTGCATACACAAAACAATGGTGGTTTGTCCTTGTCTTTTCCCTTTCTTTCACTGATTTTAAGTCTTTAAGGTTGGCTTAAGCACCTCGGACTGAACCAACGATCCTTCCCATGTGAGTCTTTAGGTGCATTCCGTCAGGAAGAAGGACCATGCACAACCTGATTCGGAGGAATTTTACTGTTGTGCAGTATTCTGAGCCCCAGGACATAACAGGAGCCAAACAAAGCTAGAAAAGTTCCCTCAGACATTCAGATCCGACTCGTTCCTCATTTTACAATTCAGTAGATTTTCTGTAGCAATACAGTCGGAGGTATTTATGCAAATATATGCAATTCAAGCCTCATTTCAGAATGAATAAACTTAAATTAAAATTAATGGGAAAAAACACCTATCAGAAACACATCAAGGATGGAGCACTACTTGTTATACTTTTTTTATGTATCGTTTAAATTTCGAAGCAGGGAAGTGCACTCAATTTTTTGTCTGGGGAACAGGGGAAAAGGACATTTGAAAATTTCTATTTGGCCACAGCCAGTATGCATTACCTTTTAGTGTACTTTCAGTATTATTATTATTGCTGCAGAAAATCAAGCAATATGATGCTGGAAACCCAAGGGAAATGCGTTTGATTTATTGAGCCTTGTTTTTTGTTTAATCACAGCTTGAAAGGGTTTAGGATCAGATTCTGCTGTGACTTTCAGCACAGGCCCCAGGCAGCTTGATGAGCCATCAAGGGTGGGGACGAGAAGGGGACTCTTCACTGAGTATGTTAGCAGGGAAGCAGCAGATATGAAACATGTACTTCCGTTAGTTTGGTAATGCAGAGAGAAATTTCTCATTTTTATTGCGAGTGGGCAGAAAAGGTTCTCTGTGACTTTCTCTTTTCCAAACATGTTAAGGAAATTGGCTGTTTCAAAATTCCTCAGGCATTTGTATCAACTAGCTGTTCAGGGATATGTTAACACTTTGGGGGTGAAGTTTAGGTTTTGACATAGATGATGACAATGGATGATATTTAATTAAATGAAAGTCTTGCACTATAGTCGTGACCACAGTGAGGCATTCTTTTCTCAAATAGATATTTGAGTAGTAATTTCGCATTCGAAAGGATTAAGCATTCTACTGTTCGCTATTCTTTCCATAGGAAACTGCATTTCCCATGGGTTGCCCTCTGAGTTAGAAATTTTCCTCCCCTGGAAAAGTGATTAGATCCTTAGAATGTAATGAACAAGGAGTGTAAGTGAGGACTTCCTCTCTTCCCCACACTGGGGATTGAACCCAGGGTCTCATGCAGGCTAGCAAGTGCTCTGCCATTCAGCTACATGCCCAATGTGGGCCATTTTTCTACAGCAGCCTCTCACACAGCAGTCCCAATTCTCAATGAACAGCTTTTCAATTTGCACTAGTAGAAGCCCAAAATATTAGTAAGAAGGTAAACTATAGTCTCTAAAAGCTATCACATCTAAGAAAGCTAGCTACAGTCTACCTACAGCGTAAAATCTAACTAGGTCATTCTCCAATCAACAATCGAGTTTGTGGAAAATATAAAATTCAACAAAATGCAACCTGTGCTCCATTCCTGGACCAGACTGTTTTTCAGTGTCTAACAGCTATCCTTTGTGAACTGTGTCTGGTTTCACTATGCTCAATGTTACATATATCATAATGTATGACCAGATAAATATTTCAGTTTGTGGCTACAGAAGCTATCTTAAAAGGTTACCTAGAGTCATTGTGACACTTTGCAAAGCTCACCTTGGATAGGGCATGACCTCCTTGAAAATTTTATCCACTAGGACAAATGTGTATGTGTGTAATTTTTATATCAAGGTATCTGCAAGATGGGAACATTATAAAATGATGTCAATCTCTCTGCAACACCAGAAGATAAATGTCTTAAAATAATTGTGTTATCTCAGGAATACAAGAAGAGCTATTTTCCATGAACACTAGCTTGGTGTCATGTTGAAAAAAAGGCACTTTTTAAACAGTTTTATTTTTAGTGGTTGGGATAAAAAACAGGTCCCATTAGTGTTTTTAGGAATTTTTTTTATTTGACAGTTCTAAGATTTTATACTATTAATAATTTGGATTTTCCTTAAAATTTAAGAATAACTCTTTTATTACTCTGTCTTATTGATTCTAAAAGCCTTGCAATACTCATTTCAAATGTAATGAAAATAAGTTTGCATATATATGAATGCATAAATATGCAAAACATTGCATTATTGACACTCTGAATATCTATACCAATTTTGCTCTAATTTTTAGTTTGGATAAGTGTTAATGAAACATGATCCATCTTCAAACTTATAAAATAGGAGCTTTCTACCTTTCATTTTGAGCATATTTTCTTTCTAGTGTGTATGATAATCTTGTTTAATTGGATTTATTTTTTTCACAGTAGGCCCCGCATGGCCTAGTTTCCATTTTTTCTCAAATCCTTGAGTGGTATTTGCAAATCACTTTTCTGGAATTTAATTTCAATGGTAGGTTGGTTTCATTTCAGATTTTTTCCATATTATTTTAATTTTATTTGCCAATTTGCCTTCAAATAGCCTTAAGCTAGAAAGTTGTGGCTGCAACTTGCATCTAAATGTGATACAGGAGGCAAAATTTAATTTGGGTATGGAGAAGTTTTATAAAAAGGAAAGCAGGATGACTACATTTTTTTAATTTGTGTTTTCTAAAGTAGTTACATTTAACAGAGAAAACTCGGGAGTTGGTGAGTAGTTTAAGAAAACAGTATCCTTGTAATTTGGTTAAGTCTAATGCTTGGTAGCATACAACTTTATTTTTACAAGGAATATCAGTGACTTCAAATTCATATAGTAAAAACCTCCAACTCTGAAGGTGGTTAGTGAGAGGATTCATATTTTTGTGGGCTACAATGCTAGGGAACTGAAATGGTTGTGTTCCATATATGTAAATTCATTGTTACCTATAATTAATATTGATTGAAGAAAACAATTGCTCTCAAAGTTTAGCATTATGTTTCAGGCTATTGAATGACTTGAAGTTGGGGCAAGTGACTTACCTGTTATGCTTATCTAGTGATGAGGGCAGTGGATGAACTCTCATGAATGTCTAAGGAAAAATTATTTTCTATGTGAATGATGTGCATGTGTTTTCCTCTGTGTATTTTGCACATTGTAGATGTTGGAGAATGACCCATCAATAAAGTTACAGTGATAAAAATCATACTGACCTTGAATGGGGTGGGGGATTGTGGGTAAAACACGCTCTAAAGGGGAAAAAATAGCAAACATCATGGAAAGTTTAAATATATATCTTTTTCATGTTTAGTTACTCAAACAATTATAAAACAGATGAAATTTCCATGCCTATATGATATTTCCTATAAAGTGTTTATCTGTTCTTCTTGTTAATATTCAGAAATGAAAGGGAAGTATTAATAAAATTAAAAATACAATCCCTCCCCCTTTGTTTTTCAGGATTTAGCTGGATTAGGAAGAGAACATCAGATCATGGTAATCCTACAGGATCCTACTCTTTACTGGAAACAGTTACTATCAAGATTGCAGATTTTTTAGAGTGTTGAAATTCAGGGTGCTTATAGGTGTGAGCAAATAAATCCAGGTGAGGTGTCTTGGTCTGGTTTACCTTTACTTAGCTCAAGACATGTGGAACTATCCTAACTACTCACTTCTCCCTCAGCCCCACAGCCAATAGCAGCTTTAGCCAAGCATCTGGAAAATTTATTTTGGGAAATACTTATTCAACTTTCCTCTTAGGGTTTTACTTCCATATTAGTGGTGCCAATGCAAAAGTAATGCCCAGGTTAAATGTTTCTTGAAATGATATAATTTTATTTTTAGCCTATTACTTAACCCTATACTTGTTATAATACAATTTCATCTGAAATTTGATCAACTATTTAAGCTTGCTTGATGAATTATCCTACTGGGTAGTAAGAAGTACTTTTCTGTTGAACACTAGGTTTTAAGCTCATGAGTTTATCACATTCCCATACCTGAGCTACTACCTCAATAAAGTAAGTGCAATTCTCAGACTTCAGACTTTCAAGTCACACACACACACACACACACACACACACACACACACACACAATTAAAACCGTTTTAATTTGAAATCTTCCTCTGAGGCTTTTTCTGTAAAGTAGAATGGTGTACTAGGGGAACAATGCACGATTTACTACTCCTGAACATAATAATGTAACATAATTAGCACACACATTTCTACCTTCTTCCTAGAAGTTTTTTTAAATGACTAATATGAAATAAAAATGAACAAAAACACACCATAAAGAGATAAGCATATACACATATTTGGTCTTGATCTACCTACCATCTTGTATATTAGATTAGAAGGGGTAGAATTTACCTTGTCTTTAGGCTTCCGATATATCTGGACACAAAAAGCCCAGTCTTCTGGCAGAGTGAGCTCTCTAGTTGCAGCTTAAATGTGAAAGTTTCCAAAGTCCATTAAGATGGAGCACGTCAATAACAGCCGAGCGAACAATTGTGTCTTAGTTACACAAGTGTCAAGTAGAAAAATGGTTTAAACCTTCACTGGTTATTTGGTATTATGTTTCCAGCTTTGAAAATAAATAGCTAAACTGCTTTCAGCATTTATGTAGCAGTTGGAAATTACTGTCCCATATTGTACTCTTTCTACTGTATTTTATTTTTATTATTACTACTATATTATTATTTGGACTGTTTAAATAACTCCACTTAATACTTTCTCATCACACTGTTCACAGCTGGGTAGATGCACTCTGCCCTCATTCCCAGAAAAGCATTATACCGCTGAGCCATCTCACCCAGTCTCCTTTCCTTGTCTTTGCAACTCCTTCCCAGCTTGTTATTACCCTCCTAGCTCCCCCCGATATCATCATTTTAGGCTTATCAAGCCCCACTAGTTAGTGTCATTCTCTCAATTCCATCCTGTTTACTTATTTCCACTTAGATGATTCCCCAATCCAGATTTTTGTACTTATTCATCCACCATTTCTCTGCTGCTGTTTTATAGTTTATACCAGGACTTATGGGTTTTTTTAGGAGGAAAAAGCGAAGTAAATACTATTTAAAATGAAAAGGAACATTTCCAACTCTTGATTTTCAAAAGCAGGCAAAGGTGGGAAACCCTTGGTGTTATGCACTTCTTTTGTTATTGAACACATGCGGTTAACACAGCTCAGCAGACATTGAGAGGGGATGGGAACAAAACTCTATGGTTGACCCTGCATAAACTGTGGCTTCTAGAAATCCCTTTAGCTATTTATCTATCTACCTAGGTATGTATGCATGCATCTATCTATCTATCTATCTTTCTATCCTGTGGCTTTTACAAACACTTTAGCTATATATATGTGGGGCAGAGCATTATTAGCTGATTCTGCTGGACAGCATGAGAAACAACTAAATGGGCACTTACACTTCACAAGGAAATACTTGGAATTAAAGGCACCTAAATAACAAAAAATGGAGTCCAAGGTAGGGTGTTTGTAACAAGGGTATTTATGAACTCAGATTTGCTTTTCTTTTCTGATGGCTATCACAAAGGTTCAATGTTCTTTCTGAATGTCAACCTATTTGATGCCTATGCTTGAAGTATTTCTAAGTGCCCACTCATTTCCTTCCCGAGCCACAGAAAGCACCTACAGAAGTTTGTGTATAGTCTTCAAACTACATGAAGTTAGTGCTCAAATAGCAGTTCAGATGGTTTCATTATGAGGCCTCTATAAGAATCTGGCTAAGAGATCCGCCAAGTCTTAACCAGCACCAGAGAGGGGTGCGTGTTCAATACCAAGGCCCTAAAATAATAATGGAGAATGCTTTCTAAAGTAAAAGGGAGCCATAGTTATAAAGACTCATTATAGTGCTGTGTTACATAGGTAGTATTTAAAATTCAGTCAATTATAGGTTCCCAACTCAATGATCTCTTAAAATTACAAAGAAAGTGGAAAAGTACCTCCTACACTCTGGTATGGCATATGGATTTCTTTGCATTTTTATTCTTTTGTACTCAATACCCTCAAAATACCTCACCAATTTGCACACTTCTGAAAGCACAAGGGAACCGATCAGTGGGACTATCTTTTGACATGTGGGATATTCTCCCCACCCCAGACCGCTAGGCTGGATTATTAGTTGAGAATCTTAATAGTGTAATAATAATCTAGTGAACCCAGGCTGATGGGAGTTAATGGGAACAGAATTGCTAGATAAAAAAGTTGTGCTCTTGAGTGTGGAGAAATACAGCAGTATGAAGCCAGGTCTCATGCCATGAAAAGGTAACCTCCAAAATACAAGATACACCTTCTAACATTTTTGTAAAAAAAA